GTATTCTCCGCACTATGGGCATATCAGGATCGAGCGGGGTTTCCTTCAATACTTTCCAGCTTCGAGGAGCCGCCTATCAGTGGTGGCGTGCCTATGAGTTAGACAGTCCGGATGAGGCAGCTTCCCTGACTTGGGCTCAGTTTTCAGATATGTTCACGAGGGAGTATGTTCCCCAGAGTCTTAGGGATGCTTGGCGCGCGGAGTTTGAGCGTTTGCGCCAGGGTACTATGACTGTCTCATAGTATGCCGTCCGCTACATTGACTTGGCTAGACATGCCCCAGCTTTGGTTTCTACAGTCCGCGAGAAGGTTCGCCGGTTCATTGAGGGGCTTATTCCCGCATCAGATCTAGCATGGCTCGTGAGTTAGAGACGGATGTGTCTTATCAGCAAGCAGTGAGCATTGCTAGGAGGATTGAGGGTATGCATGCTAGGGACAGGGAGGAGAGGGAGGCCAAGAGGTCTCGAGAGTCGGGCCATTTTTCTGGTGCCCGTGCCCCAGCTGCAGGTCGTCATGGTAGGGGTCATATGGGTCGCCCCGTTCATTCAGCTCTTCCAGCAGCCAGTGATATTCCAGCTCCACCTAGGCCTTAGGAGCCTTATTATGCACCTCCAGTCTCTAGTGCGCCTCCTGCACGGGGTGCTTCCAGTGGACAGTCCAGCAGACCTGGCCCGAGCCAGTCACAGCCACCACGTCCTCCCAGATCTTGTTTTGAGTGTGGTGACACACGCCACATGGTGAGAGATTGCCCCAGACTCAGGAGGGGTGCACCTTCGCAGGCCCCTCAGCCACAGCAGGCCGCACATAGCTCTCAGGCTATGGTTCCAGCACCAGCTGTCGCTCCACCGGCCCAGCCAGCCAGAGGTGGAGGTCGGGGAGGTAGAGGTCGCCCTCGAGGGGGAGGCCAAGCCAAATATTATGCTCTTCCAGGCCGTACTGAGGCTGCCGCCTCCGATTCTGTCATCACAGGTACTATCTTGGTTTGTCACAGAGATGCATCGGTTCTATTCGATCCGGGCTCCACTTACTCTTATGTGCCTTCTTATTTTGCTCCGCATTTGGAGGTACCTCGATTCTTTGAGTTCCCCAGTTTATGTTTCTACTCCTGTGGGAGATTCTCTTGTTGTGGACCGCGTTTACCGGTCATGTTTGGTTATTCTTGGTGGTTTTGAGACCAGAGCTGATTTATTATTGCACAGTATGGTTGATTTTGATATTATTTTGGGCATGGACTGGTTGTCGCCCCATTATGCTATTCTTGATTGTCATGCCAAAACCGTGACGCTGGCCATGCCAGGTGTACCGCATATTGAGTGGAGGGGTGCCTTAGGTCACACTCCCAGTAGGGTTATTTCTTTCCTTAAGGCTCAGGTATGATTGAGAAAGGTTGTGATGCGTACTTAGCTTATGTGAGAGATGCCAGTATGGATACTCCTTCCGTTGATTCAATCCTAGTAGTACGGGATTTCCCTGATGTGTTTCCAGCTGATCTTCCAGGCATGCCACCCGATAGGGACATTGATTTTGGCATTGATCTGTTGCCGGGCACTCAGCCCATTTATATCCCTCCATACTGTATGGCTCCTCCTGAGTTGAAG